CCCCCCCCCCCACTCCCGGCTGCGGGGCCCCAAAGATGTGAGGCTGAGCCGAGCCTGTGTCCCAGGCAGGTGCCAGGCTCCTGCTGTGGGCCAGACTCCTGTCCGTCACTGCCTACCTAACTTTTGGGAACCAGGTGAATTTGAGGACCGGTGCTGTTTTCGTCCCAATTAGAAGGAGAGTTAGCCCGAGGGTCTCAAGGGTGGGGACTGATTCCGACGAGGTCCCGTCACCGCGGAGGGGATGAGTGAAGCAAACGGCCGCCAGTGCAGCCGGGATGGTGCCACGTGCTCCGGGAGCACAGGTCAGGGCCGACGATGGCTTTCTGCTGGCAGGGGAGGCTTCCTGGGGAAGCTGACTCCGGGCCAGGCCCTGACTTAGCAGTTGCGAGTCGGTGCAGGGAAGGGGCAGCTGGGGTCAGGCGTGCTGGTGGGCACTGGAGAGGAGTGGCCGGGTGCTGTGGCCGGGGTGAGGGGGTTTGGGGCGTTGAGGGTGAGGGCCCCGGAAGGAGGGCTGGGCTGACCGCGACTCTGAACGTGAGGGGAATTGGGGGCCCCAGGGAGCCAGCATGGCGAGCCGGCCATTTTAGAAAGATGGTTCTAGCCACCTTTTCACAGAAGTCAGAACAACGTGCTGTGGGAATTTGGGGGGGGGGTGTGGCAGGGTCTTCATGTGACCCGGAGCTGTTGATTTATCTGCCTGGGTTGTTGCAGGTGGAAGGATGAGCTTACACAGGGGGTCCCCCAGGCGTCTCCCCTTTGCTGCCTCGAAGTGTTTGCCGATGTCAGCGCCCGTCATTCAAGTGGGATAGGGTGGGGTCGGGGGGGGGGGGGCTCCAGACTCCAGACTCCAGAATGAGAAGCCCCTCCCCCTACTTGACTGAGAGGCAGGGAATTTGCGCGTGAGTGAGCACGCATATAGGAGCAGGCTCCTAGAGGTCCACCTGCAGCGGGCTTTTAGGGAGCCTGCCTGTCGCCCAAAGTGAGAAGTGAGACTCCGCCTCTGTGGGCTGGCAGTTCGGGGCCCCGGGAGGTGGCGACTGTGGCTGAGAGCCGGGCTGGGGGCTCATTAGGCCCAAGTGCATGGTCAGGAGAGGTGCGCTCTCACAGACGCCTAGCGGTTAGTGAGTGTTGATGCGTGCAGGGCACTATTCTCTGCGCTCGGTGTGTCTTATCAAATCCTTTCATCCTCCTGGCGACAGAATGAGGCAGGAGCCGTTGTCACCCCCATTTTACAGAGGAGAAAGCCGAGACCCACCGCCGTGACGTGACTTGCCCAAGGCCACGCGGATGGCGCGTGGCAGAGCTACTTGGATTCGAACGCAGGCAGTTGGGTTCTGGAGCTGAGCTCCTCCTCAGCCGTCATCTCCTTTCTTGTTCTTCTTACGGTGAAACCTCTCTGATTCAACGTAAACGTGTGCGCTTTGCCATCTTGGGTCTGCTTCCTGCCCGGGTAATTACAGCAGCCACGCGACCTGTCTGGGCTTCAGCGGCCTCCCTTTAGAGGCAGGCGGTCAGGCTCCCCTTGCCCTGCCTACCTCTTTGGAAGCAGGTTGTTTTGAGGCTCCATTAGGATAGAGGAATGATCGGCTTCTGTGAAGTGTTGTGTATGTGACATTGTCGCCGCCCCCCCCCCAGCTGGCGTTGGCCAGATCAGGTCTCCCCTTGGGGTAGAGGTAGGTGTCATGGGCGGGTCCCCCAGGAGAGGGGAACATCTGATCTGAGCCATGGGGGTGAGTAGCAGGAGAATTGGTAGAACAATGTGTGGGCAAAAGTGTGTGCAGTTTCTGAGAAGTGTTGACGTATGATCTTAGCTATGTCTGCAGTTACACACACACACACACGGAGAAAAGACTGGAAGGAAGTACTCATTCATCCATTTGGTCTGTCTCACTGGGAACCTCCCACGTGCCATGTGTGTCCCAGGCACCGGGGTGACAGCGCGGTGGGAGGGACAGGGCATGCTTGCCTTCTGGTGATGGGGACACGGTGCATCTGAGGAGCGGGGGGCGGGGGGCTGCTGTTCGCAGGCCTGTGGGCCAAGGATGGGACTTGGGGGTTGGTTCCAAGTGCAAAGGGGATTTGGGGGAGGTTGGTGTAGGGGAGTGACCTTTAAAAAGGTATTCAAAGGCCTGAATTACGGAGTTAGAGTGAGACCAAAGTCTCTGGAATGTTCCAGAATTGATGTCTGGGTGGTGGGTCATGGCGTATTTTCTTCTTTATGGTTTTCTCTCTCCTCTACCTGGATTTTCTGTACGGAGCATGTGCATCATATAAAGGCAACAGTAAAACCTTATCGTTTTTAAGGAAATCTTGGCCTCTCTGGTATCTGGTGCAAAACGTGTCCCAAGATGGGGGTGGGGGCAGTCCTGGCCTTAGGTCAGGCCTGGTGTCATCCATCTACTCAGAATGCCACCTGGAGCCCTTCCCTAGGACAGCAGGGCTTCCCCCTCACTCCCCGTCCCTGGAAGGGCCAGGCTCTTCTCCTTGGATAAGAAAGTTATGGATTTGAAATCTACAGTAGCCTGCTTCTTCCCCGTTCATTGATTTCACAGAAAGCACTTAAAATCATATTCTAGGGGTCACCTCCAGGCAGTCAAGAGGGGACTTAAGAAATTAATAAAGACCTTCTTTGCAAGTCAAGATTGGACACCTAACTGCGGTGTGTGTGGCTAAATTCAAGCTGACTCTAATTTGCTGGCAGGTGCACTGCTCTGGGCTTGGCTGTGAGTGGTGACCGTGTTTTGCCCATTTGCAGGGTTCTGTCTGGGTCTGTCTGTTGGAGGGGGCAGGTTTGGGGGCGACAGGGTTCTCCTGAGAAGACCGTTAATACCTTTCCCGTTGCCCATTAATATCCCAAATATATTCATGAAGTAGAAATGCCAGCTTGGTTTGTAAATGTTCCGGGAACAGCTAAAAGATCACTAAGGACAGGCTTTTCAGCTAGAAAGGGTGAAAGGAACAGCAAAACTTGCTGAAAATGGAAAGGAATGTGCTGGAAGCTCCTTGTTTTTCCATAGCTAATGACCTCAGTGTCACCCGAACCAGCTGACGCTGTGCTCCTCCGTCCCCACTCTTGGCCTTGGCTCCTGCTCTCCCCGCAGTGGGGAATGTTCTTCCTCCTGTCGTGCAGAGTCCTGCCCGCCCTCCAGTCGCT